GCTTAGTGATAATCATTCTCTCGTTTTCGTAGCGATTCTTAAGCAATGTCCACGCAGTCGCATAGTTAGATTCGCAAACTGTCAAATGCCTAATGAGTCTGGCTGCATCACCTTTCACGTGCGTCTTTAAATACTGCATCTTTTCTGTATCTGTGAGTGAGTTATCTTCATGAATGATTTTTTAAAAATAAGTCATAGAACGAGCTCCACGACTCATAACTTCCCATAAACATTGGAATGACTATTCTTGGTAGTTTCACGGATGGTTTGTGATCAGTTTGATGTTGTTGTAGCTTTTTCATATAGTCGTTCAATTATGTTATCGTAGTCTGATTTCAGTTTTTCAAACACTTCATCCTGAAAATAACTATGTTCTAAGATGTTTTCTTCCTCACAGATATTGAAGTGGCCTTCTTCAACTTTATCACACTGTTTTTGCAAGGCTTCTAGCAATGTTTTATAGTGATAGCTGGATCTGTCGTCTTCAATCGCCAAGGCTGCTTTCTCGAGGTTTTGACGCAACTGATTGATGCGGTACAATTGCAAATTCATTTTTGCTGAATTGTTACTGTTGGTTCTGACTTCTTCTGGGTCCCGAACACAAGGTTGCTGACAAATTGAAAGTTTTGCCTCACATTGTTCCAAATAATCCATAGCATCTTTATACAGCTCTTTGATGATCCCGAAGTAATTAGACTTCATATAGGTATGTTCTTCTAAGATCTCCTGGTCTTCAATTAGTGAATGGTTTGCCGATGCTTTGGTGAAGACTTCTGTGAGTCGCGATCTTCTTTCTGCGATGTACTTCTCTGTTTTTCTTGATGTCGAATCCTTTTTGATGTTGTTGAATATGCGTCCGATTTCTTTGTAGTGGCTCTCCTGACTTTTCACAATTTCGTTGATTTGTTGTATTTCCATCTTGCTGCCCTATCCTATCCTAACCAACCTAACAATGATATAAGGGGGTAGAACAATTACACTTAGTTGCGATCTATATCCTCGTTACGGTATGTGCGACTTCTCGAGCACCGGGGCGACCCTGTTCAGGGAGACCGATACCTGATCCGCTACCGAACGACGCAAACTAAGTTAGTCAGTCACTTGATATACAACGAAACAAGCGCTAGGTTTATGCGCAAGTCTGCTGTATACCAATTGTCTGTCAGTCAATTAGTCAATTTAAGGGACAAGATGATTCTCTACCGATGACTCGAAGGACCAAAATGTACAGCGTGATAATAGCCTTACGCTAAGATCGCGCTGTACAGGACTAAATACCTACCGATGACTCGAAGGACCAAAATGTACAGCGTGATAATAGCCTTACGCTAAGATCGCGCTGTACAGGACTAAATACCTAATCCTAAGTACTACTAGCTAACGTTATCCTACACTATCCTAGATAATCTAACACTTACAATATCCTATCCTAGATCCCCTAAGCCCAATAACCTATGTAGTCTAAGTTCTATCCTATATTTGCCTAGCGTACAATGCGTATAGGCTTGGTACTCTGTGGTATACTGTGATACAGACCAGCACTTCTACGCACCTACTACCAAGCCCTTAACCTAAGGCACGTACTATAGTGGTACACTGTGGTATGCTGTGATACAGACCTACTCTTCGTACGCGCCTAATGCCCTAGCCCTACAGTCCCTAGACCCTAGCCCTACTATACGTATTTATATATACTTATATAGATAGGTGCAGGATATCTGCCAACTGAGACCTATGATGGCAGACGGAATGTGGGTAGGAATGGGGTATGGTGGTGATGGTTTTCTCACTGCCTGTCGAGCAGACTCACACGACAGATCGGTTGATGGCTAAAGGTGTCTTGGCCACAGTGAGAGGTGGAGGAAGGGTAGTGAGTCAAAGTCGGAATCAACTTAATGACTCCTTTATTGCTTAATCTACATGATCTTATATACTAAACTTATCCTATGTACACACATACCACATTATGATTGTGTGCTATGCGTGTAATGTACCATCTCAGTGCTATATACCTTACGTGATTACGTGATGTTTTATTAGTTTTATATATTTAATAAGTAATATGTTTTCCTTATTTTAATCACGTAGGATTATCTCGCTGAAATGGCACGTTCATGTGTGAACAGTACTCTTGAAACGTCATAATCAACGATATTATAAGTAAAAAGGTGTAGATAGGTTACATAAACAAAATTCGATTTTCAAAAACGGCACACTATTGCACACATGAATAAAGCGTATGATACACGTTAAAGTGGGATGGCATGATTCAATACTCGCGAGTGAAAATGAGACAAATATGACAAAATGTGGCTAATTAGCCATATTTCAATGTATCACTTGCTGAGCGCTTGTAACATATCTACACCTTTTTACTATACTATAATCGTACGTCAGTGAAGCAAGGCATTAAAATGTATTTCGAATTGATAAAGGTTTTAGGCTTTTTTTAAACTGTGACCCATTTTGATTTTTCTCGTACTTATGTCGTGGTTATACAATATATGCAAGCTCTTATAAAGGTAGGTACAATATGTGGATCGCACAAGGAATTGTTCCGTGCGGGAATCGACCCCGCAATACGTGTTGCGGCAGCCGGTTGATTAGCCACCGCGCCAAACATGCAGTTAAGTACTTTTAAGATTTGACGTAAGAAACAAATCTGGGATCTCACCAGACTTGCTTTCTCATTTCATTCATTACAAAGGTTACCTATTTACAATAAATCGTCAAGAAACGCGTTCCTATAGCATTGATGGGTGCTTAATTATAGGCTGACCTAAATCCGTTAGTTTATGCGAATATAAAGTTGGTTCAGCTTATTATTCCTCCAACCTGACGTACTTCTTAGTACCCATACCTATTTACGTAGTTGTGGTACATAGGTACTTGTTGGTAACATCATAACTATTAGAAACTCCCGATATGTTTCAGGGAAAATAAGTGGACTCTATGAACTATGTAATGACGTCAATACAATTACGCGTTATTTCCATTTTGTTTTATTGTATTATAATAAAATAGTTATTAAAATGTATGTTGATAATAACTTGAGACTACGTTGGTTTAAATTAATTTAAGAACTCGCATGACGTAGTAATTTGGGATTTAGGTAACGAGTTTTCCTTAATTTGTCAGCCTTTTAAACCTATAGGTAACTGGGGCTTTATTTAAGTAGGTTCAAACCTAGTCTGTGTTTGTAAATAATATTTTTTAATAATATTTGTGTTGAAAGGCTACGATCTGTTTAAGATACACATCAAACTTAGACCCAATGAAACATCAATTTGTTATCACACGAAGTTGTTCTGTGCGGGAATTGAGCCCAGCAACAATCGCGCGTCAGTTTTTCTTCTTTATTATGACAATGTAGTATAGGTTTTCTCCCTATTAGGTACTTACCTAACCTAACATTTAGTCGTCCTTCTCTTTGCATTGTTTTCGTCGGTCCGGATTTCCTATTTTTGGTCTTATATCGTCCTATTCAAGCTTCTTCGCAGGCGGATAGAGGAGAGTCGAATATTCACCTTAAGTCTGCTCAAAATACTTAGACGCGTTAGTATGGAAGATCGTCCTTTTTTTTGAGGAGGAATAATAAAATATTTTCTCCAGCCCATGGTATGGCGAGTCGGTGTGACAGACTCTTACTGACTAAACCCCCGTTCCTTCTCCTGGCCCAGGAGCTAGGTATCCATCTATCCATAGATTTAGGTAGATTATATTTGTTTCAACCCAATTTTTTTCTAGATGGAAAAATTTATTATAATCTGTAGGTATTAATATTATAAAGAGGTAAAATTTGAAAGTTTGTATGTAGGGGGTAATCTTTGTAACCGCTGGCCGGGTTGCCAAAATTCTTTCACTGATCGATAGCTACAATGTTCCCGAGTGCTATAGGCTATAAAATATAACGCTACGATCAAATGGAGCCGAGCAGCGGGTGAAACCGAGAGTAGCTAGTAGCCTATAAATTGCTTAGAATTGTTTGCATTACAAATAAGGAAGTGTTGACTCTAAGTACCCTACCTAACCTGTGTAAGTATAGTAATTGTCATTGGACACCACAATCAATGCAACTCATCTAAATGCATTATGTATTCGGGTTCTAGTTTCCGGTTCTCCAGCTGGCTTATATATACACATTATAGGTTTAAAACCGCAATTAATGTTGTCTGTTACCTATCCATGTCTGTGTGTAAGTAGGTGGATATTGTCTCGTCTAAGTATTCCATTTGCGTGTTTGGGAAACACTTAAATCACAACATCCATGCTTAGGTATTTAGTTTTCTTTCTTTATCGTCAAACAGGATTTTTTCTGTGTATTGCGCTCTCAGTAATATGAAATGTTCCTACTACTCACGGTTTTTATGGATGCAGAAATGTCTTAGACTTGGGGACACAGCGAATAAAAATTCCTAGGTAGGTACCTACCTACCTAGAGAATTACCGCCAACTGATTCATAAATTAGAATAAAATGAAGTTAATTGCATTAATTCTCTCGATGATGTCTCATATTGTATGACTCGTACTGAGGTAGGTAGGTACCTACTGAGAAGCAACATTTTTGCACGATTACGCATAGGTAAGGTCATACAGAGAACAAAAGTTAATGTAGATACTAAGTAATAAACTTGAAATTATTACTGGAAATGTTCATAATGATATATTATTATTTTATGATGTCCGATATTACTACATAACAGACACAGATACCGTACTGATTGATTATTTTGCCGGTAAGGTGATTGTATGAGGTTTATAAGAAGACTGACTCCAGTGAACCTACTACACTTGGTACCTTTATTATTTTGCAAATGCACTCATTATACTTGTTAAACAGTTTAAAGAATATTATCATTTTGTTGTTGCTACGATCTTTGCCTTACTTACTCGTTGAGTCTTTATCAGATTTGGTTGACTTGCAGTGACTACAATTAGCATAACAATGCGGTTGAAATTATGACAGCAGTCTATTCTCATACACAATATTTGTTCCCAGGACCCAGCGTTGGACTCGTACACCTTGGAACACGAGGCAAGAAAGTTGGACAGCACGCTCACCCACAGCCTTCCTCCGCTCAACGACAGCTACGACTCGTCCAAATAAACACCGGCTCTGCGACAAGCCGATATTTACCAATAATGAGCTGCCAACGCTCGAGCATTGTGTAAAAAAACACACAATAGGAATACAGATGGTGTAATTTATAACCAGCCGTGTAGTTTCAAGTTTCTATTTATAGGAAAACTGGCTGCGTTGTGTAAAATTAGCAGATAAAAGTCGATACAATAGATGACAGCAATGTTATTCCTATACACCGAACTAATTGTCATTTGTTTTCAGATAACGCGCTGTCTATTTTAATATCGTTCGAATAATTCGAAATTTAAATTGGGCATAAACGACAGGCGGCAGCTACTAAATTGAACGTTCGTATCTCAAAAACAGGCCGCATTTATGATCACGATGGACCGTGGACCGTGGCTACGAAATCATTAATCAGTAAAAGTATTGCTGAATACCATTGTACTTATCGGTAGACACGTGACGTCATCACTGACTGCCTGTCATATCGGACGCATGTTTACGAATTTTGTTTGTTCGACATGTGAGTTACATTCGTGTTAATTACACCACATGTCGATGTCCGAAGAGAGCTGAATCTATTTGGAATGTTCAATGTTTATGTGTAGGTGACTCAAACGACCGAATTTTAAAGATTCTTCTGTGTAGGGTATCGCACCAAGTATGATCACGAATAATTTAAGTGAAGTGTATTTGTCATTTAGCAATGATTTGTTTGATAACACGTATGAGTCAGTGTGTCTTGAACCATGATTCACACTGAGGTCAGTTCAAAGACCGGAAATATGGAGGAAGCATTTTTTTAACGTCAATGACTCAGTAATCATTTAGTTTAATAGTGAGATTATGTGTGATCTGTTTTTCTAGTCAATTCGAATGATTATTTAATAGTATTATAAATCGAGAAAATATTTACTAAATGTATCTTCTAAGCTAAGAAGTCTTTGTAAGTTGTTTTTGATCAAATGATCCCCATCGGATAGGTAATGGATTCTATGGTATATGGTATCAATTTATTTTTGGCGTACAATACCATATGTAATAATACATTCGAGTGGTTTACCTATTTTATTGTCATTTACCTTTATGTTCCTTATATACCCAGATATACTAAACTAAAACAAAGTTATTTACATCTTTATATCCATTACATCATTGTTTTCCTTTTAGGAGCATACGTCATGCGTATAAATTAATACACGTGTTCAAAAAAATATAATTATAATGTGAAGATTTCTTAGTTTGATATATTATCTATTGTGTGATTATGCAAATTATTGTAATAAATATAAGTAGGTATAAAGTCACCTGTTCTAGTCATTATAGTAACTAATTAATTAAGACTTAACGGCAAACTATTCCGTCCGACTATGTTCTAATACAATCTGTGTACTACCTAATAATAAACTCATCGACACCTAAGTACCACCATAATCACGTTTTCCGCCTCAACAACTTATTAGCCTTATTTAAACTAGTCCAGTATTTAACAGTATTATTTCAATATGACATGTAGGAACATTGTTGTATCAGAAAGAAATACGCAATTGCCAAGAGCTAAATATTTCTCAATTGGAACCTTATTGTCGACCAATCAATTGTATTTTATTTCAATAAACACAAAAAGTTTATAAAACACGTGTAAGTTTTACTTCACGCTTTATCGCAAGAGGCGAGGCAGTCTAGCAATCTATTTATTAAATATGAATAAATAACGCGGATATAGCTTATCAAAGTAATTTTACGAGTATGTATCAAAAAGCTAATTGTTCTGATAAGTGAGTATGCACGTATTGGGTTATTATTATGTTACTTACTAAAACGGACAGCAACAATGCTCCACGTTAACATTTGACCCTACTGCAACTAGATAAGCGCCGCAGACAGGCTCGGAGCGCCTTGATAAAAATGGTTCAACACCATTTCATTGCACTATCTATTTTGCCGGGTATCGGCGCGACACTGTAGACAACCTTATTGTATGTAGATACACCTCCCACACGCTTTTTACTTCAAATTACCGACTACTGTATCTATTTAATATTAAGATATTATTTTGTACGTTACACGCGCCCCCATAGTGAGCTCGATCTATGTATGAGACCTTGTTACACATCATGGGGTGTGTCAATAGAAACTAATGCAATTGTAATTCAATACTTGTTTTGCATTATAGATTAGATTGCTTAGTTATCGAGTTCATAAATAGGTATTAAGTTAGACGTATTGAGTTCATTTCCACTGGACTGTGTCAATTCTTATGTTACTAGAATATCGACATACGACCGCCACGTCACACTGCCATACATAATTTTGTCGTGTTTGTATCTACTGTTTAGTTAGTCCCTTTAGAATTAAGTACAGACACGTCTATGTAACTTTTTTACACTCATCAAGTTAATAAAATAGTTGTAGATGGTATATGGTTGTTTCAATTAATTAAATTCCATTAAAATTCCGAGCCAATTGACGTTTATTTGATAGTCGGTGGGGTACCGTCGACGTGTGGAGCGGCCGCGCGGGCCTGGGATGTGACTCATCACGCCGCGACCTCGATTGACATCACGGGAGCGCCGACCGCGGGGGGGACAAAACATACCCCAAAACGAAAGTATTTAAAATTGGTTTTATTGATGCAAAAAAAAAGGAATTAATAGATTATTGTACATGTCCATTATTGATTGAAAAGATAAAATATACAAGTTCTTAATTTTCACAATATATATAAAAATATAATTCAACTCAGATCAAAGTCATATCCAATATCCTTGTGCAGTAAATCTTACATGTTAACAGAAAAGAGAATGGAGGAAACATCTAATTCCGTAACAATATTTGAACACCTATATAATTATTACGTTTAACAAAGTTCTAGCAGCAAAACATAGGTAGATAATTTACATTTAAATGAGCCAGTAATCATAAAACTTTAATCCATTTACAATAACGATAAATTTCTTATTTCTCAATTTCATAGGTTAGGGGTTATAGAATGGTGGCCAGTGGTGTACATTAATAACACAAGGCATAGGGCACCACCAACATTACACTGGAGACTCTAAAGTCGCAGGGTGCAATCACCTAAGGCTCTCTAATATTTGTTCAAAAGTTACCGAGTCCCTAAACGGTTTCACATTATCAACTTTTCACTTGATACATTTGAATTATATAACAAGACAATAATATATTCTGAAAAAATTTAATGTATCCTTAATTCACATATTTAAACATTACATACTGGGTCAGGCCTTCAGAGCACAATACCCATATCGTTTCGGAGCCTGCTTAAATTCTCACACAACTGTTCAGAAGTTCCAGGCCCTCCCTTAATCAGTATGATTAGATAATAACTACTAAATGGTAAACTATATCTATATTAGGTCCAGACAGATAAATATATATTTTTATATAACTATAAATGCAGTCACGTTAGCATGTCAGCCATTTGATGAACAGTAGTTAGTAATACTTCCATTTAATGGTGACTCTACAACGGGACCTTGAAAGATAATTTCATGGTAAATAAGTAGCTACACTCATTTTCCTGTTCAATTAAATTTCAGGGGGCTGTCTGCACCTAATATTGTTTATTATTATTAAAACAAAAATATTTTTAGTAGCTTTTCATATATTTGAAAATCATAATTGAGAAACAATGAGAAGTACATACTTGTAGAGCATTCAGAGTGAAGTAGTGCCATGTTTTAGATAATAACTGGAATGAACATTAATGAAGTCAGTATTGTCACAGGGTTCTAGAACATACTCCTCATAGCCTCTAAATAAATGAAAATGTTTATACTTACATCAAGTAGTTTTAAATTTATAACCATTTACAACTTCTGAACCTAACAGCATCCACACAATACAAATGGAATTTCTAGAGTGAAACACACACAGAATCGTTGAATCTATCCTTGAATATTACAACTATCAAAATATAGATCAGAGGGTCTAAGAGCCGCATTGTATGGATAGGTACATGGATATAATCCAACACGCTCTGTGCATGCTCGGTGCTGCAGCACACCATCACAAACTCAACAAATGCACATTCTTGAAATGCTACAGGTAATACCAAGCAATGATGCTTAACACCCGACCTAGATAACTTTGGGAACAGTCGAGAGCCAAATCTGGGTACCAGAAGTCTTTCAAATTATTAAATATTTTATACCTAGACGCTTCGGAGGCTCCAGCGGCATTCTTACAGAATTTGACATCTTGGTTTTTTTACTTTCTCACTGTTGATAGGCGTTCTCCTGTTGATTTGACGAACTAGGTCGAAGAACACATCGTTCACGTGTATTTTGGCTTTCGCCGAGGTCTCCATGAACGAGCAGTTGAAATGGCGTGCGAGATTACTTCCCTGCTCCTTGCCCACCACGCGCTCCGCTTCCAGGTCAGTTTTGTTACCGACCAACACCATGGGAACGTCGTCTTTGTCCTTCACCCGCAGGATTTGCTCCCGCAGGTCTTGCAAGTCGTTAAATGTCGATTGTGCGGTGATGGAGTAAACTAAGACGAATCCTTGTCCATTTTTCATGTATAAGTCTCTCATGGCTGTAAATTGCTCCGTACCAGCAGTGTCCAGTATCTCTAGCATGCATTGTTGACCGTCAACTTCCACCTGTTTCCGATAACTGTCCTCGATGGTGGGGTCGTATTTCTCGACAAAGATGCCTTGTACGAACTGTACTGTCAGGGCGGACTTTCCCACGCCTCCGCTGCCTAACACGACTATTTTGTATTCACGCATTATTAACTATTTTTTATCACGTGTTATTATCAACTTAAATCAAAGATCAAATCGCTAAAAAGCACATTAACTAGTAAGTTATTGCAAAAAAACCTTTAACAAGTCAAACCGCCATGACACCGTTAGCAGGGCGATGGCTCACTGTGTCGGTATTGCCATATATAAATTTAAATTATTTATCACAAACTATAGAACTCTATGAACAAAGTCCAGTGTTTTCCATTGAACGCTAGCCAATTTTGTGGAATAAGTACGTACCTACCTAGATAAAGTTTAGCAATAATTTTCTTTGAGGACAATATTTTTGTACTAGCTGAGTAAGCTGAATGAACTGTATTTGTATGAATCAATCGAGAGACTGCCATAAAAATAATGGGTTTGCAGTTTGCACTTATTAATCCAATAAAAGGGGAAGGATGCATCAAATTATTTAATTTTTCAATTAATGCACTTCAATTGTAAGCAACGTAATTACAGTAGAGGAAAATAATATTTACGAGTACATGTAATCGTGTTATATTTAAAAAATAGATTAGTCATACAATTTATAATTATCATATTTTG